GTTTATTAAAATTAAAAGAATTTTTTTTTAAAGCAAATATATTTTGTGAGTCTTCAGAGCCACTATACTGGGAGTTGAGAGTCAAATAAAAAACATCAGGTTTTTAAAAATTAGGATTCAGTTAGGTGAGGAAAAATCCTTGATATAAATTGAGGGATTGGGGGAAACAGAAGGAGCTACTAAGTGGATATTTATTAGGATGAGGAAACATTAAGCAGATAGCCACGGAAGGCATGGTGGATCCAACACAGCCAGCACTCCACATCTGCGGGTTCCATATCCACAATTCAGCAACCATGGATTGAACATACTCAAAGAAAAAAAAAATAAAACAATACAGCAATAAAAACACAAATAAAAAAACTAAACTATTTACATTGCATTTACACTGTATTAGGTATTACACATAATCTAGAGTTTTATCTTTTTTGTTTTTTAAGAGACGGGATCTCACTCTGTTGCCCAAGCTGGAGTGCAGTGGCATCATCATAGCTCACTGCAACCTCAGACTCCTGGGCTCAAGTGATCCTCCTGCCTCAGCCTCCCAAGCAGCTGGGACTACAGGTGCACCATCACCATGCCCAGCTAATTTTTTAATTTTTTGTAGAGATGGGGTCTTGCTCTTGCTCAGGCTGGTATGGAACTCCTGGCCTCAAGCAATCCTCCCTCCTCAGCCTCCCAAAGTACTAGGATTATAGATATGAGCCACTGTGCCTGGCCTAGAGATGATTTAAAGCATATAGGAGGATGTGTGTAGGTTATGAGCAAATACTACACCATTTTACATAAGGGTCTTGAGCATCCTTGGATTTTTGGCGTTGGGGGGTGGTTGGCAGGGTCCTGGAACCAATCCCTCAAGGATACTGAGGGACAACTGTACGAAGGCAACGTGCATGAATATGACTATAGTAACCCATCACCTTATTATCTTATTCCAAAGACAAGCATGGCCTTTCAAAAGATGGCCCTTTTGACAGTCAGCATGAAGCACATTCTACACAGGCACTACCTCATTTACTATTAGACCCAATAGGACTAAAAGCTGTAAACATCCTGAAAGGAAAAGACTAGAATAAAATCTGGGAATTCTGCCATAATACCAAAAACAACATCAAGGTGATCAAAACACAAAATACAGTACAGAAAGTCTTCAAATAACATAGCTTTATTCAACGATGTTTCCTTGTAACACTCCTGAGAAAAAAAAAGTCAATTCCCAGCAGAGGCCCTTGTCTGGGTGGAGTCTGCACGCTCTCCCCATATCTGCGTGGGTTTTCTCCAGGCACTGTTTGCCTCCCACATCTCAAAGAAGTACATATGAGGTTCGCTGACATATCTAAATTGCCCCAGTGTGTGGGTGTAGGGGGTGTGTATGCGCACGCACGCACCCTGTGATGGGATGGCATCCTGTCCAGGGCAGGTTCCCACCTTGTGCCCTGAGCTCCCGCGATAGGATCCAGCCACTTGCGACCCTGAACTGGAATAAGTGGGTAAATGATTATCTTACTTGTTTTTATTAATCTGTCTTAAATGTATGCGTAGCTCGCATTTATTTCAATGTCTAATATTAGAAGCGTTTGTTTAGAAGTTTAGTGATGCTTTCGTGGCCAAAAATGTGCCATGGGAACTTCACCCTTGTTTATGTCAATTAGCCTACAGGAAAACTGGTTTCGTTACACAGCATTTCACATAAAGTCACAGTTTCCAAGAACTTATCAACTATGTTAAGTGAAGACTTACTATAGTCCCCCATTATCTGAGGTTTTCCTTCCTGCGGTTTCAGTTACCAGTGGGTACAGTGCAATAGATATTTTGAGAGAAAGAGACCACTGATGTACTTTCCAAGTGTATCCCACTGAAGGTCTTGGAAAGTACCCTCCAAAGATAGGGGGGAACTAATGTAAAGTTACTTGGGTAACCATGACTCACTGATTTACTTAAGTGGAGACATGTTCTTATGCATAATCAGCAAGTTCATGCACAAAAAAATTAACTGCTTATTCCAGTAGATTATAGAGATAAAAAGGTAAGACAAGAAAAGATTAAGTATTTGAATAGCATCTTAAAAAAATTCTATCAAATTTCTAAAAGCATAAAAAGAAGAATGCCCTGAAAATATATTACTGATCAGAAGGTTTGAACTTTGAAGATTTGGGAAGTGATGTCTAAAGATTAGAAAAATAAAATATGGCTACCAGAAGAAAAATGTTTGCCAAGAAACATTTATGGAAATGAGGCCTACTTAAATATTTCAGCAGGAGGTTAGAGAAACCATCAAAATGACTTTCAACTAGATGATACTGGATCTTAACCACACTCAAGTCCCAGCGGAAGGTACGAGACGTTATAATTACATCTCCAATGGCTCCAATTAGAAACCTGGTTTTGACACCTAGAAATCGGTTCCATTTCCCAACCTCCCTCCGTCACCAAAAATAAAACACAAACTCAAACAGGTCAACTGCTTTCCTGCTGGCTCTAATCCATGCTGATCACTGGGTCAAGTCATTAGATCACATTTAATCAACAACACATCCAAGAATTTAAAAGGTTTAAGAAATCACCAATTTATCAAAAAAAATCAAGCAGTGTGGTTTTGCTAATAATAAGTTTTTTTTTTTTTTTTTTTTTTGAGACAGAGTCTCACTCTGTTGCCCGGGCTAGAGTGCCGTGGCGTCAGCCTAGCTCACAGCATCCTCAAACCCCTGGCCTCAAGCAATCCTCCTGCCTCAGCCTCCCGAGTAGCTGGGACTACAGGCACGCGCCACCATGCCCGGCTAATTTTTTCTATATATTTTTAGTTGTCCAGATAATTTTTCTCATTTTTTAGTAGAGACGGGGTCTCGCTCTTGCTCAGGCTGGTCCCGAACTCCCGAGCTCAAACAATCCGCCTGCCTCAGCCTCCCAGAGTGCTAGGATTACAGGCGTGAGCCACCGTGCCCAGCCTCTGGTCTTTGTTTTTAATGAATTAATTCAGTTTCATTAATGGATTACAGAGTGGATGTATGAAGGAATCCACTGTGTGCATACGTTACAGATTTCACGTGCTTGTGAGCAAAGACAAATATTGTAGAGGGGAAATGAATGAACACAATGAGGAGTCTGCAGTCTTAGGGCAGGCTCAGCCATTAGCAGAGCAACCTGGGCACACTGCCTAACCTCTGACTCTTTTTCTTTATTTGTAAATGAAATGTCTAGGTCCACTTTTGCTCTGGGAAGAAACCCTGACAAACCAAGCAACAATCTTTGAACTCCATCAATTTGTGCCTCGAATTTACTAAGGGATAATATTCTAAAGGCCACATAAACATGGAGTTTGATCAATGACCCAGTTCTACGCAAACAATTTTAAAGCAGAATTATTACTCAATGACCATTACATCATTAGCTTTCTCTACTCTTGGAGATAATTAAAGCCTTTCTTTATGGAATTTATAGCAGCTCTCTGGGCCAGAATCATTTCACATGACTCTTAAGCGTTCTGTAATCCAAACACCCCAATTCAAGGAACGTGGCTCTACTTACAGTTACGAATGTTATTCCAGTCAATTTTAGAGAAGAAAGGATGGCAGCAAAGACCTTCGAACTTCAGTCTCTCTTTCTGGCCACACAACAAACTTTGAATCAGATCAAAGAATTCGCTGCTAACTTTGGGGTCATCTGGAAACTTCAAAAACCTCTGTTTCAAAAAATAAAACAATTATTTCCTGAGCAGTGATTCTGTTTCTCATGTTCCAAAGTGAAGAAAGCGTTTCTCATATATGCAAGTTTCTTTTTTTGTTTTTTTTAAAGAAGGAAGTTTAATGCCCTGTTCACTTTGGACCAAAGGCATGTTCCCAAAATAAGTGGCCTGTTCCCATCAATAGGCCCAGTTCTTTTGCAGGGGTTCAATATCCTTCATGGCTTGACCCCTGCTCCCCTCTTCCGTCTCATCTCACTACGTTCCCCGTCTCTCTCTTTGCTGCCCAACAATTATGAGCTATTTAAAGCTCCCTGAACAAATCACGCTGTTCTCTGCCTTCCCTGGCTACCTTTTCTCCCCATCACTCCCTCCTGCACACTCCCTCTGTGCTTTGCTTTTGCACATACACAATGTACTGTGATTTCTGTGCAATGATGAAGAGAGAAGGCAGAGAGGGCCTTCTCCTTCTTGCTCATCACTGTAAACCTGCTACCTAACAGTCCTTGGCATAATGCACTGATTATAAAAGGAAGGAAATAAATTAGCCCTGAGAGTCATCTAAGGGGAAACTTTAACTCAAGAGGAGACTCAAGAATAATAACTAATATACGTACATAAAAAATATATATATTAAGCATTCCAGAAAGATGAAAATTGGGTGAGATACAAAGACCTAGGAAATAAGTTCTCTTTTTCCTTTTGGTTGAAACTAAAAATATGCATATATTTATCAAATCCTTGAGAAATGGGCTTGGCCAGGTGCAGTGGCTCATGCCTATAATCCCAGCACTTTGGGAGACCGAGGCAGGAGGATCCCTTGAGGCCAGGAGTTGGAGATCAGCCTGAGCAACATAAGCAAGACCCATCTCTACAAAAATTAGAAAAATTAGCCAGGCATGCACCAGCTACTCAGGAAGCTGAGGCAGGAAGATCTCCTGAGCCTAGGAGCTTAAGGCTGCAGTGAGCTATGATGATGCTACTGCATTCTAACCAGGGCAACAGAGTGACTGTCTCAAAAAAAAAAAAAAAAGAAAAGAAATGGGCTACGGGCTTAATATAGTGAAAAGTAGTTATTAGAAAACAGATTAAATTTTACCATATATATAGACATGTATATAGAAAATATATACAGAAAACTATATTTCTAATTCATATCCTCATGCAATTTTACTACCACATCTGATACTACTAAGAAGACCACGGACTTCAGAACCAGACTGTCTGTGTTACTTTGCGCATGTTACTTACTTTGCTGTTATTATTTTTCCAGTACTGCTGATTTACCTATAAACATTCATTCACACAATTTTTAAATGACATTTCTCAACATTACTTGAAAATCTACCAATGACTCTTACCTGGAAATTCATGATGTTACTGAAGGTTCTGGCTGAAGTTCCCTCCGTGAAGGGAGATCGCCCGTAAATCATCTCATAGGCAATCACTCCCACCGACCACCAGTCACAGTCCAGGCTGTAGGTGCCCTTCCCGTCCCCATTCATCACGGTCAACACTTCAGGAGCCATGTAATCTGGGGTCCCAATCGGGAGTTTGGCAATCACCTAGAAACCCATAAATAAAATGAGCACAACAAACTTTCAATTAGCCTCTAGTAGATTGCCAACAGCCACATTCAGACACGAGCTGATTTGCACTGATTACTATTCTCTGAGACACTTAAACCTTCTGTCAAGTGGCACACTGTCAGGAAATGCAAACGCTTTACTAATTAAAAAAAAAAAAAGCCCATCATAATACAATCCAAAGGCAAAAGGGCAAGAGTTGATGATAATACCCCTTGGTTACACAAATGAGACCTGGGTACATACCTAGAAGGGAAGAAGTCTTTCCTGACACAAGTTACCAACATGATAGACCTTCTCGTACTTATGAAAACAGCAAAATGATAATAAACCCTAAGGAAGACTCTGTAAGATGAATCTAACCATTACTGGAAAACCGGCAGCTAGCTGGCAATACAGAATACAAAGGTATGTCATATAACAAGTCCAAAAATTTGGAAAACTGCTTTTAGAATCAACATTCACACTTGGGCCCACCCTCAGGGCAAGACATGATTGTTAACTTCCACCCAGGCCAAATGTTAATGAGTTTGTTTTCCTCACCCCCAGCTCTTGCTCCTGTGATCCTTCCCCACTGTTCAGAAACCCAGGGCCCTCCAATCCAATGGGACCCACCGAGCACCTGACCTTGGCAAAGAAAGATTAGGATGATATAGGAAGTCTTTTTATAAAGCTAATTATATTCCATTTAAAGGACTGTCCTTTTTTTTCTGAGAATTTGTCCTTCTGACTGTTTTAGTGTTTTAAAAGTCCTTTGTTTCTTGAAATGATACTGCTGAAAGGAGGTTTTCTGCCCCTCACTCCCACCCCTGACCAGGCAACCTAATAAGCCCCTTTCTTCTTCAAAATTGTTTTGAAGTTTTGCTGAGCCATAAAATGTGAAGTGTAAGGACTGCCCTTTCACCTTCCTCCCCATCAAAACAGAGAGGCCCCGACTTTAGCCATGTTCTATGTTGGCCGGCGGTCCTATAACCCTACATCGTAAACAGGCTTCTCTCAGGTCAGTGGTTATATGGCACAGAAGAACTTTCTCCCCATTAAAGGAAGTGTCCCCCAGAGAGCCAAAGAGTTTGTGGCTATGGCTACATACCTTTAAGGCTGAGCTTTATAGCAAGAAAGTAAATTTGCTTTGCTTTAATTGGGCCTGGAGAGAAAAGTGAATGTTTCTCGAGGACATTACACCATCTCCTGTCGCCAGTGATGAATCTGGATGAAGCTCTTCCAGGCTGCAACCTTGCTCTTGTCCATTCCTCTGCCCCTTTCATTACAGGAAATGGACCCATTCTCCCATTCCATCTCTTCTCACCCTTCCCTCAAGCCCACACTCTGGTGTAGGTTTTTCTGAACCCTAAACCCAGAAAGCAGTGTGATACTGTCATTCCTGACACTGATCACTCACTGCTTTGGGCAATAGGATTTCCACTCCAAATACCCCTTCGAGAAAGCTAGATGGTCCCACCACCGAAGAAAGCCTAAGGCAGGTTTGTGTTGATGGACAAAAGTGCAGGCAGACAAAGGAGAAAATATTTGGTCTGAGACAGAATCATAGGGTGATTTAAGCGTGAGGAACTGAAAATAGCTTAAGTCAAAAAGAAGCTTTGATGTTGGGAAATCTGAGCCAAGACTTCGGTCTTTTAAAATGTATATAAATGTTAAGGAGCTCACACAGGCTTAGGCTTAAACTACAGGGTTTTGGTAAAAACCACGATACTGACAATGAGCAATAGATATTTTTTAAACAACAAGAGAAGAAAAACTAACATCTTGGTTTGACTAGGTAATGATAATGCTACTGTATCGTTGATTAAATGCCTACCCTTTGTGTCTAATTACCTTGCAGGACCATAACTACACAATTGTCAAATATGCACCATTTGCATTTGTTGGATTTTATTTTAATGCCACGTAGACTGTTCAGGAATATTCGGTTCTCCTTGTTTGCAGCTCACAGGGCATAGTCACTTGTTCACAACCAAAGAGCTGAAAGAAACTTGATTGGGTCATGTTTATCAGGGTGACCCAGCCTAAGAATATGGATTGTCAATGCCTCATTTTCAAACTAATGACTAGACTTATCAAAGAGAATCAGGTAACTCCCCAACTATTCTTGCCTCATAACAGATACGTGATTTCTATATACGTTTATGTCCAATCATTCTCTAATTTTTTTGTTCTTCTTTAGAGACAGGGTCTTGCTCTGCTGCCCAAGTTAAAGTGCAGTGGCATGATCACAGTGCACTGAAACCAACTACTGGACTCAAGCGATTCTCACACCTCAGCCTCCCGAGTATCTGGGACTACAGGCACGTGCCACTACACCCAGCTAATTTTTTAATTTGTTGTAGAGACAGGATCTCCCTGTGTTGGCCAGACTGGTCTCAAACTCCTGGCCTCAAGGATCCTCCTGCCTCAGCCTCCCAAAATGCTGAGATTACAAATGTAAGCCACCATGTCCAGCCTCTAATCTTCTAAATTTTATTATTAATTTATACTAGAAAGCAATGAAAGGAGAAATACCCCCCAGCTTCCTCTTAAGTATTTGATAGCAATTAACAAAGGTTTCTCTTTTTTCATTAACAAAGTTCTATAGTGCTTAATGGTAATTAACAAAGTTTTTTAATGACAATTAATGACTACTAGATTTCCATTAGTGACCGGCCTCCGAGCACATTAAACTCATTCAACATGTAATCTCCTATGTCCTGATAAGGATTTTGCAAATGCTTTCACTTTCCTTTGGTGGCAATTCAGCCAGCTAATCTGGGTGAGATATTAAAAGTGAATCTGTGCCAGGAGCCCAGCCAGCCTGCAGGACACTATACTATCTGCCGGAGCCCTGGCATTGCTAAACTTTAGTTAATTTTCACTGTACTGATAGGGAAGAAAATAAACCAGTTCAGCAGGAGACAACAAGAGAATGACCAGGGGGCAGAAGGGACTGCCATATGTTGGGAGATAGAGAGAAAAGAAATAAAGGAAAGAAAGGAAAAAAGAGGGAGGGAGAAAGGGAAAGAGAAAGAAAAAGATTACTTAGCAGACCCTTTTACAAACAAAGAGCAGATGAGGAGGAAAGTAAGAGAACCAGTGTCTTCCTCCTCCCAACTCCTTTCCATAAAATGCTTGAACATAAAACTATTTAAACCTAACTTCCCCCATCCAGCTGCCCAGGGCATAAACATACACAGGCAGAAGCAGGGGGAAAGAAATTCTCACCATGTTGTTCCTCTCATGGAAAATAAATCTTTTTGCTGTGAAAGTTGACGGTAAGAATTGGGTCATTCTTGTCATACTCAACTAAAACAGAGTCGAGAAGTTGGGGGAAAGGCACTCAGGGTACAAAACATTCTCCAAGAATGTAATTCTCTGCAAGCCTCACTGCTGAAACTGCTTCTTGTAACCTGGTACCAGTTTTAGCCATAGCTTCTGAGATAACTTGCTGCAATTCTAGGTCTAATTTTGCCCACCACTGATACCCACCAATCAGAGCTTGTCAGCCCCCCAAACCCTTACTGGTGCCAATGAACTTTCTCAACAAGCAATACATAACATTTCTCCTTTTTTATAAAACCTCTAACCCTCTCTTTGTTCTTTAGACATACCGAAGACCACCTGGTTTGTGTGTATGCTCCAAATTACAATTCTCTCTTCTCAAATAAAACATTAAATTTAGAGCTTCGTCACTACATTTTTATTTTGACTTCAACATCACTCCTACAGAAATCTAAAAAGGTCTCTTACGGGGTTCCAACTGCTAAATAGGGCCATGCACTTTACAATCTCCTTACAACTGTTTTCGTGAGAGCCAAATGCGATAGGTTGGAGCTGTTAGCTATTTGCCATTCTTTGAGATTCTAATAAGGTGATGTGGATGACCTAAGCCACACAGAAGAGCCTATGCTCACTAGGCCCGTGTTTGCTAATGGAAAATACTCCAAAACAACATTCTGAATAAGAAGCTTGCAATAGGAACAGACAATGGAAAACTGAACAGCTCTAAGATTCAAAAATATCCAAAATACAAAGGTAATACTTGGGGATGGTGGTAAAAAGGATTGATTGATTTTGGGTAAGTAACATACAGTAACTTCCTGTAATGTGGATTATATTTTATATAGCATATTGTGAGTACAGAAAACATTTAGAACCTAATTTTTTTTTAGGCCTATAGAACATTCTATTTAAAGGAAACATGTTTAACCCAACACCATTAATCAAAAATACCAAGAAATTATTTATAGTTCTATATCCACACTTAATCTAGATTGCAGATTATTGCTCTTCTATAATAAAAAGGTCTTTGCACTTAACACGATGCTAAAAACTCCTTCTGATCTGCTTGTCACGTTCCAGCCCTAAAAGCACGAGGGGAAAGGAGGTGCAACATTCTCAAGTGTGTAGTACTGAGTTCCATATTTCCTTGACCAAAATAATCAGGGGTTGAGCCTTGAGCTGCCAATAAACCTGAGGGCCTCCGGGAAGCTCCCTGCCTGGAGTGAAGGTTGCTACAGTTAGAACTGAAAAGGGCAGTTTGAAGCACCGGAAAATAGAAATCTGAAATGAATAGAAGCCCTGTCTCTCCACCAACCAAGGGCTCTGAAAAGAGTAACCCCAGATGCAGAGAAAGGGCCTGACTCTTAATTCCCACTTATTTACCAAGCATCGACTTTGGACCCTAATGTAGTTTGCTGAGTAGGTTTTCTTACTGCAAACTCATATTGCTGGCTCTAATTGATTAGCTTTCTGATGTTTCTCAATCTACTACAGGCAATCTCAACCAGGGATGATTTTGCCCCCCAGGGGACACTTGGCAATGTCTGCAGACATTTTTGGTTGTCACAACTGAAGGGGAGGGTGCTAATGGTATCTAGTAGGCAGAGGCCAGGGATGCAGCTAAACATCCTATAACACACAACACAGCTCCCCACCACAAAGAATTATCCAGACCAAAATGCCAAATAGTGCTGAGGTTATATTGTGACACTATGTACCTATGCTTGAATTTATTTCTAAATGCATGAGTTTTTTAATGTCACTAATGCAACATATAAGTTTTTGAATCCTAGGTGGTAAAATTTTGCATTTTTAACTTTTTTCCTGTACTTCACTCCATTAAATTTAATACCTAAGTTTTCATGCCTGTTTCTGAATTGTACATAACTTTTAAAACATAAAATGCTTTGATTCTATAATCTAATTCTTAATGTAATGATCAAATGAATAAAGAGTATAACCTAAAAAAATAATAGATGAGAAACCTTGACTTTGGATAGCACAGGGAGACTGTTTTTTTGGGGGCAGAAGGGGGTTGTTGCCTTTTTTTTTTTT